TCAGTCTGACGCTGCGTCTTACTGAATTATATATAAGGGAGAGATATGTGTGCCTGTAATTATGCATATATGCAAACGGTTTGCTTGAACATGCTTCCTCAAATAAAATTTTAAATTGAAAGTCAATTTATCGTGGTAAATGACACTTAGGAAATTTCCCCCTCAAGTAGTTAGCTCACACTTTACCTTACCCATGTGGTTAACTTTCTTTATTGTAGCTGAGATTTTAATAACACTGGTATGGACTTTACCAATTGCACAAACAAACAGAGAGTACTTTTAGGAACACCCAATAGTGGTGTAGAACTCTCCATGTGATTCAGAGGATCCAAGTGGAAAGCCAGGAAAGATGTCTGACACAATGAGAACCATCTCATTAAAGCCTCCAGCCAGAGAGATCAAGTAACATGTAGACAGGTATTAATATCTACACTTACTACCAAGCAGGGGTCATTTCGTAAAAAAAGAGGTGCGAGAGCTCATTAGCATAACTTATTAGCATAACTTATTTGCATATGCCACACCCCCTGACAAGTGTGTCAGAAGGCAACACCTGCCGCTCAGGCTCCACCCCAAAAATCTCCAGGTATTTCCCAACTCAGAGCTCATCTCCCAAACATAACATTTTCAGGTCACTCAATTTCTAATTTGTATAATTTTCATGGGCAGAGAGTAGGCTTGCCAGGTCTTTCAGGCCACCAGCAAGGGGTGTGGTAGCCAGATCCAGGTTGGAGATTTGGGTTTTGGAGCATGGGGAGGACAGGGACCTCAGTAGGTACAATGCCACAGATTCCACCCTCCAAAGTATCCATTTTCTCCAGAGGAAATGATCTCTGTAGTCTGGAGATGAGCTGCAATTCCCTCTGACTGGCAGATGCTCCTGAATTCTATTTCTTTCCCCCGCCCCTTCCCTTTGCCTCCAAGCTGGGCGAAGGAAGGATCTCAGGCACTTCTGCCTGACAGAGGGGTGTGCATGCCTGCCCCTCTGACTGGCAGATGCTCCTGAGTTCTATTCCTTTCCCCCTGCCCCTTTCCCTTTGCCTCCAAGCTGGGCGAAGGAGGGGGGGATATCAGGTGCTTCTGCCTGACAGGGGCTGGCGTGCTTGCGGCCAACCAAGGTGCAACCTGAAACCTCGAAAGCAAGCAGCAATGCCACTGAATCCCACATGCTAACCCAAATCCTATTTCAGTATTTATGTTCTATCTTCTTGGTTCTATTGACTCTCTGTGTAATCCACCTGGAGTTCCAGAGATTAAGGCGGGTTAAAAATAAGGTAAATAAATACTGTCTACACTGACTGGCAGTGGCTCACATCTATTTAACATCTTTAACTTCCCTTTAACACCTAATCCTTCTAAACTGGAGATGAGAGGGACTGAAACTGGGACCTTCTGCATGCCAGGCAGAGGTTCTACCCCTGAGCCACAGCCCCTCCCAAGGGACCCTTGGCCAACATGGATTCCCAACTGATCAGGGACTGCCTGGAAAAAGACACTGGACAAGTGAAGGAAGCCTTTTCTCCTCCTCCTCCTCCTCCTCTTGGCCCAGGAGTCCTGCAGTCTACTAGAAAAAGCGAAGACAGGGGCCGGGGGAGGAGGAGAAAAACATTATTGAGCCCTCCTTTGAACAGTTTGCGGAAGCGGGGGAGAGCCACACAAGGAAGCACTGGTGATTGGGGCAGAAGTTTTTCCTTCCTGCATTGCAGCGCCTACCTGCTGTAAGAGGTCTCTGCTGAGCCAGAACGACCCTTGAGTGCTGCAGCTGCGAGTGCCAGGGGAATGTACTGCACAATGCGAGGCAGCGACCGGCACCTAATCATCTGTTTTAGATGGCACCGACTCTGCAGCTTGGTGGAGTGCTGGGCAAGGAGACCCAGTCTAAATCCCCACTGGCTCTAGGCACACCCTCTCTCAGCCCAACCCAATTCACAGGGTTATTGTGAGGGGAATGGAGGAGAGGAGAAGGAGAGGAGAGCTGCTTTGGGTCCCCGCTGGGGAGAAAGGCGAGGTATAAATGAATTGGATAAATAAGCTTGGACTGCTAAACAAGCTAGCTTTCACCACCCGCCGGGAGCCACAGAAGGGAAATGAAATCCCTGCCCTGAAAGGGGTGGTGGTGGGGAGCCGATCGGCCTCTCCCCGTGGGGCTTTCGCAGCAGGGAAAAGCCCAGTGCTTGTGGGTAAACCGGTGTGGTGGAGGCCATAAAAAACTGTCTCCTCAGGCCCGAGGGGGCAGCAGGCTCAGATCAGCAGCCTCTTCCTGGCAGAGAGACCTGCCAGCCGGTGGAGCGCAGGACCCCAGTAGCCAGAGGGAGGAGGTGAAGGGCCTCCAACAAAGTCTGGATCTGGGCGGAGAAGCCAAGCAGGGGGGTAATCCACAGAACCACCCTCAGATGGAGTGGCGTGGGGGTTTCGGCACTCAGAGCTGCCTCCAGGCTCCTGCCGCCCGAGCCTTTTTTGCAAGTCGACTCAAGCCGCTGGGAATGCAGGAAGGTTTCGAGGGCAGTGGGAGAAGTGTGTCACTGTCACTGTACCACGGCAGTAGAGGCCTTCGGTACAGGCCACCATGGATGGAAAGACAAGGCGGCGGCAGGGATGCTCTGAACCAAGAACAGCAGCTCAGGCCCCCACCCACTCTGATATTCGCCGCTCCCCCCTGAAAGTCCACCATCTGACCGGCGGGGTCTGCAAATCTTACTGGCAGGGAGCGCAGATGCCAAGATAAGCCAAGCAATTTGGCGCCTGTTCCTCAATGCCCTCTTGGTTCACCCGGGGCTTCCTCTGGGCATCCCCTGGAGGGTGAGACAAAGCCCTCCTCCTCTATTAGACAGTAGGGCATGACTCGTGGCGAGGTTAGGGCAGGTGGGCCTTTCCTGGGGCACCACGCCTCTGCGTGTCCCAGGAAAGGTGAGGAGGGAGTGAGCAGGCAACTTACCTTCTTTCTTCTGCCCTGTTCCTCAATGCCCTCTTGGTTCACCCGGGGCTTCCTCTGGGCATCCCCTGGAGGGTGAGACAAAGCCCTCCTCCTCTATTAGACAGTAGGGCATGACTCGTGGCGAGGTTAGGGCAGGTGGGCCTTTCCTGGGGCACCACGCCTCTGCGTGTCCCAGGAAAGGTGAGGAGGGAGTGAGCAGGCAACTTACCTTCTTTCTTCTGCCTCTTCGTGGCCTGACTTGAGGGCTGCTGGGAGCAGGGGGCAGGGCTTGGTCATGTGCCTGTCCCCCCCGGCTCCTCATTCCCGGAGCGCTGCTCCTGTGCACTCCCACTCGAACCGACCACTGCTACCAAGCATCTTAGGAAGCTGGATTCCCTCCCCTCTAAGCTACTTGCTTGAGGAAGCTAAGCAATCCCAGTAAATTTTAGCTTCACTATTTAAAATTTAAGTTCAATAACACTTACC